TTTTGGTAACGTCCTCTTTCCTTCCTTCTAGCCCCTGAGCATCAATGGAGATAAAGAGTACCTGGAAGACCTAGACGGACCAGTGCCCTATTCCTTACGCCCCGTCATTGCTGTGGCCATCTGCCCCGCGGAGGAGAACAAGGAAGCAGGCCTCCTGCCGGTCAAGGTGGATTTAGACAAGACTGTCCTCTAAGAACCTTCCCCTGCCTCCCCCAGCCCTCTTAATGCCCCATCCTCTCCCCTCCTCCTGAGTTCCTTTCAACACAACCGCAACAATCCTTCCACGATGCTTCCCAGCCTCTCCCATAGCATATTTTGTCATCTCTCTTTCATCCAGGAAGGTCTTGGAGAAGCCCAGCACCTTTCTGCAAGGCTCTGCTGGAATACCCAAGTTTTCCAGCAGCAACACTTTGGCTGTTGAGAAAGGGTGGGCTAGTGAGATCCTGGTTCTCAAAGGCTGCCATTGCGACTTTTGAAATGAACAAGCCCTGGTGGTTCCCAGCATAAGATCCTGAGGTGGGCCAGGGGGATTTTGGGGAAATTTGCTTCACTTTACTGAACAAGGATGGGCAACTCCCTCTGCCATTGGGGAGCTGCTACTTTTCCTGGTTTTCTTTTGTCTAAAAGAATTGTTGGTGGGGGATTAATGGGGCGATGCCTGCTTTTTATTTGAGCCTTGGTGGGAAAACTACATGCAGGAAAAGTCAAGGGTTGCCGATCATGGTAAGTTTGCTGTTATTCTGTGCCCTGATTTGCCTGACAGATTAGGATAGGGTTCCCTGAACCATGATTTCCTGAGAAGCCAGAGCTGCCTAGGTTGACCCGCTGCATGAAACCATGGTCTGCATATTTGAGAGGTTGCGTTTAGTTTAATATTTACTTAATAAATTTATATGGCTGCCCATTTCACTTGGATATGGCTCTTGAGTAGCCTATGACCAACACTCAATATCATAGCTGCTTAAAAAAAAAACGGAGCATTCAAATCAAAGTAGGATTGCAAGAGAAAACCACATCTATCTAAACACAGTATAACCATCCTGTGGGTTTCTTGATGGGATCCTCAAGCCGGTTGGAAAATCCACATTTCCAGGGTTTTCTGAAAGACTAGCAGGAATGAAGCTGTCATTGGTGGGGATTATGCTTCAGGGGGTAGGAACCACAGGCAGAAAAGGCAGTATGCTAACCCACAGAGAAACAAACCACCTTATGGTTTAGATTGCAGTGTGATTCAGCCTATACTTCCTTCTTTCTTTTCCACCCCACACCAAAATATATTTTGTCAGACAAGATACAGAGAGAAGACAGATTCCTCTGGATCAATGTTTCTCAACCTCGGCAACTTTAAGCGGTGCGGACTTCAATTCCCAGAATTCCCCAGCCTCTTTCTGAAGTCCTCTTTTGGGACTTTGGCCGCCAGCAAAAAACTGAACAGAATGGGACCACATGAGATATAAGGGGACAAGACAGACAATTGAATTTGAAAATGGGTTGGACCTGGCTGAATGGAAGCTATAGGAGCTATGGGAGACTCCCCCACCTCCCCATTTCACCTAACAGAGAGACAGTTAGGCATCGGCTCAGGATGCTGCCATGTCCCTCAATTCTAAGATCCTTCCCTTCTGATCACATGACCAAGAATGGAGCTGCCGCCACCTTCACTTTAAGCCTCCTCCTTTTTGATCACATGATCCATTCTCCATTGTAAGCTTCCTCCCTCCTGGTCATGTGACCCAGAATGGAGCTGTCCTTCATTTTAAGCCCTGTCCTTCCTCTTGGTCACATGATCCAGAGTGGAATGTTAGGTCCTCCAATCTAAGCCCCGTCCCTCCATTTGGAGCCTCCTTCCTCTGGGTCACATGACTCCGAAAGGAGCTGCCACTGCTTCCATTCCAAATTCCTCTCTCTCTTTGTCAAGTGACCCAGAACGGTTTTTATACTTGCCCTGTGTTTCCAAGTTCGCTCAGACACAAATAGGAGCAGCGTGAACAAAGAGCAGAAACACAATGCATTATTACAATACTCACAAGAAACTAGGCACTTATGGCTACTGCTTGGAAAGACTTCCAGAAGCTGTTCTCTGTTGGCTCTACCTGTTTTCTTTTTTCTCTTCTTTTGACTCTGTGAATTTGGGATCTATGGCAAAATCGGATCGCAAGCTAGAACTGGCCTAGATCTAAGAGAAATCTAAGAGAATGCTGATTCCCTGTAGGCCTGCACTAAGGACCTGGTCTCTGGGGCTGGGTATTCCTTTCTTGGCACTGCAGTGCCAGTATTCCTGCATTGCAGGTCAGATAAAGAACTGTCAGCTTCATTCACACAACATGCGTAGCTTGATTAGTATTAGCCTTGGTTCAGTTCTCTGTGGTTTAGTTGGGGGGTGGAGTTAGTGTTTTTTTCAATCTCTCTTCATTATAATATAACTCAAGGTAGTGAACATACCTAATACTCATTCACTCACTCCTATTTTTCCACAACAATAACCCCCGTTGAAGTGGGTTGGGCTGAGAGAGGGCGCTTGGCCCAAAGTCACCCAGCCAGTTTTCACCCTTAAAGAGGGGACGACTAGAATTCAATCTCCTAGTCATTGGCCCCAAATCACCCAGCCAGCTTTCATGCCTAAAATGGGACTAGAACTCACAGTCTTCTGGTTTCTAGCCTTTTCTAGTCTTCACCACTAGATAAAAACAGCTCTCTTGTTGGTTTTATTCTGCAGATCCAGAACAATGGGCGAATTCGATAATCATGTTTAGTATGCTAAAGGGAAGTAGCCTATTGTGTACTGTGTCTCAACACTGAGGCTCAAAATCTGAGGTTTTCCCTCAAAGCTACCCTGTCTTTTTTAATTTAAAAGTCCCATGTCATTGGGAAACACTGAGATAAGAAAACAAAATTAAGAGTAATGGGATACAGGGCTTCCTTCCTCAGGGTCAATGAAGCAAAGCAAAGTTTGCTCCAAAATAATTCTCAACCTATCGTCTGCCCTGATTTTACTCAGAAACTCCTCTGAGTAACACAGGGATACGGTGTTGTGGTTGTCACTGTTGTTGATTCTGTTAATTATTATTATTACTATCATTCTGCCCTTGATGAATGCAGGGCACTTTTGTGAACCCAGGACGTGTTTGTGAGCAATGCCCATCCTCCCATTTTCTCCCCTTCTGGAACCTCACCGTGTACAGTCGTATCACAAGTGCAAAAAGTTCCTTCCCTCACAAACTGGTGTAATTTTTTTCTGCTTGCTTGTACATTCGGCCTAAGGATTCTCTGTACATAGATTTAACTTATCTCCTCATCCCACTTTTGGCTCTCTAACTCCCTCCCCCACACATCAGGGTGCCTGTCTGCGTGTGTGTATGTGAAAAAAAGGTGGTGTCTGTGACCACACAAACAAGAGCCTCATACACACACACAGACACACAAAAGGGTGGATCTTTGATCTTGATGTTGTGGTCACCATCTTGTCCTTTTTAAAGCCCCTTCTGCAGAGACATTTGTTGCATATTCTGAGTTGAAAATACTGCTGAAAGCAGTGGTGGGATTCAAATAATTCAACAACCAGTTCTCTGCCCTAATGATTTCTTCCAACAATCAGTTCACCAAATTGTTCGGAAAGTTAACAACCAGTTCTCCCGAACTGGTGCGAACTGGCTGAATCCCACCACTGGCTGAAAGCGTATGGGGCAAGAGCTGTCCCCAGTCTGGTGCCCTCTAGATATATCAGGGCTGTAAATCCCAGAATGGGAAGTCAGCATCCTAGCTAGAAGGCAGCAGGTTGAAGAAGTCTGGGGGAAGCCAATCCGGAGCCTTTAGTATGGCTAAAAGGAGCTTGCTTTGCATTCAGTAACTTTTTAGATTTTTGAAACTCTTAACTCTTTAAATATATTCCGGCATTCTTCACATTGGAAGGGAGGTTACATATTAGGGAGGTTTATATATATTTTATATCTCTCTGAAGTTCATTCATCTTTCATCAAAACGTCTGCATCTAATTATTTGCGTGAAAAAAAATAAGCTATCTTCATCGTACCTTTGTTCTGCCTGGCTTGTTTTAATTCCCTTAAAATTGTCTTTTCTTCCCCACTTCCTAAACACTACTTTTTCTTTTCTCTTGGGAAAGAGTTACAAAGGCATAAGGCCTTGGTTGAACTGAGGTGGGATTTGTTGAAGACCTGTATCTGTTAACTGTATCTGTATCTTTAATAACCCTTTCTGTCTGTCCCAGAAATCCGGAAAAGTTGTTTATTTAGTTTATTAATTTAAGTTTTAAAGAAAAGAAACAATAAAATCAAAGCTGTGAAAAGGAACTGGCATTTTTACTATTTTTTTTTTGAAAGTTTTTTTTTTCTTTTCTAAAACTTCCCATCAACAATCTGGGCTGTGTGCTCATTGCAAGAAAGAAATTGGGAATTCAGGCCTGAATAACTTTACATTTATTACAGATACACTTTTACGGAAATGTTTCAGGACTTAATTCGCCTGATTAAAGACATTTAATTTACGAGATCGTGTGAGGTCCTTTGTAGCTGATGCCTTCTGCACATCTTTGCATAAGTTCACACATGTTTTCACACAAATAAAATGAAATGGAAGAACAAGATATGTTTCCTTTGTCTTCAGAGGATCCATTTATGCTTTGTACAGTGTTAGAAGAGGTATCCTATTTTCTGTGAAGGAAAAGTGATAGTGCCTCTTCTTAATTAGAGGTGCGCATTCTGAACTTCTGGCTGTGTGGGTGGCAAAACCTTGGATTGGCTCATTAAAAATTCCATGAAATTATAATGGGGAAAGGTTCATCTAAAAGCTTTATGGAGAACAAGATTAGCTTTGAGGGATCAATCCAAGGACCATCTTAGTTAGCATTTTTCTCCTAGCAGCCCAAACAGAGTTATATCTTGATTTTATTCACATCATCTGTAGCCCAGCTGATTCTGATATGCCCCAAGGATACAGTACTCACAAGTGGGAAAATGTGAATACCTCGCCCTGCATATGGAATTATTCCAAATATTTGGAGGTCTGCTTCCTCCAGTAATAACACTGAGTCTTGAAAACTGATCATCCTTGATATTTATTTTTAACCCACTTTTATTGTTTTATAAATATATACACTTGTTTTGTTTGAATTTATTTAGTTCCCATTTAAAGCCATGTAATGTACAGACAGCTTCCTGACTTACATCCACAATTGGGACTGGAATTTCCATTGTAAGCTGTTGAAATGATCAGTTGAGGTAGACCTAATTTAGCGACAATTTTTTAACCGCAGTTGTGTGCACATCACTCTGGTTGTTAAGCAAGTGATTACTGTCATTAAGTGAATCCAGCTCCCCAATTGCATTTTTTAACAGAAATTGGCAAAAAAAAAAGTAGCAAATCGCAATCACATAATAGTAGGATGGTGCAACTTGATCATAAATATGAGCCGGTTGCTAGGCGCCAGAAGTGTGATCATGTGATTGTGGGAGTGGTATCATAGTTGTAAGTGCAAGTATAATTAGTAAATCACTTTTTCACTTTTTCACTTTATCACATTGTAACTTTGAATTGTTGTTAAACGATTGCTTATGTCACGGACTCCAACTACCTATAACTACCATGTCTTCTGGTAGCAGAGATGGGGAACAATGGCTGCTTTATGACTTGTGGACTTCAACTCCCAGAATTCCTGAGCCAGCCCACAAGTCATAAGAGGGCCATTGTTCCCCACTCCTGCATTCCACTTGTAAATTATAAAGAAATGGTCTTTTGTTTTAACTCCTTCCAGTCATCTTCCCTGGACAATCTATGGCCCTAGTATTTGAAGAGAAGAAGAAATACAGGTAGTCCTTGACTTACAGCTACAATTGAGCCCAACATTTATGTTGCTAAGTGAGGCATTTATTGAGTTTTGCCCTATTTGATGACCTTTCTTGCCAGAGTTGTTAAGCGAATCATTGCAGTTGTTAAGTTAGTAATGTGCTTGTTAAGTGAATCTAGCTTCCCCATTGAATTTGCTTGTCGGAAGGTTGCAAAAGGTGATCACATGATCGCAGGTCATTGCAACCGTCATAAATGTGAGTCAGTTGCCAACTGTCTGAATTTTGATCATGTCATCATGGGGATGCTGCAGTAGTCACAAGTGTGAAAAATGGTCATAAGCTACGGTACTTTTTTTTATATTGATATTGTGACTTTGAACAGTCACTAAATGAACTGTTGTAAGTTGAGGACTTACAACATTATCAGTTTGGGTAATGAAACATCTGCAAGAAAATAAACAAGCTCAGAGAGCACCAAGGACCTCTCATGTCAACCCTGAGCTACAAATATTCTCCTTTATTGGTAAGCTAAATAATCCCTGTTTAGTCTTTTTCTTGTAGGAAATGGGTATAAATCTCTTGATAACTTCATTCTCCCATCTGGAATCGTACACAGTATTCCTGATACAGATATACTCTAAGACCTCACACAATTGTAGGAGAAAAGAGGAAGGAAAGCCCTTGAGTTTTGAAAAAAGAAAATATTTTGCAAGTGCTGTCACAGCAACACTTGGTTTGTGCAACATGTTTTAGTGAACTCTGTCTGAAGGCACTGATTTCTGATTATACCATCCATTTTTAAAATCTGTACTTTCCCCTGTGTGCATGTGACAGCTGTCTTGCTGTTTTGCAGCAGCTGAGAGCTGATGGACTGATCCCTG